AGTGGCTTCTGCCCCTATTCCTCCGCCCATCTTCACTTCTGAAGTAGAACCCATGCAAATTGGCCTTCTCCGACCTGCTTTAACTCCAGAGGAAAGATTACGCAGACAACAAGGCAACCTATGCCTTTACTGCGGGGCCATGGGTCATTTCTTGTGCAACTGCCCAGTGCTACCAAGTAAGTCCAGCCAGCCTCATCCTTCATATCTCCAGTTATCCGGAACCCAAACCACCCATGTCATTCTATCCATGTCATTACAGGTGGCTGGAAAGGAAGTCAAGTTGCGGGCAATCATTGATTCGGGAGCCTGTAATTGTTTCTTGGACATCAACCTTGCCAATAACTTCTTCCTAAAACACAAAGGCTCAATGTGCTACTAGCAGATGGCACCACTCCTAGCTCAGTATCCGTTACCCAAGAAACCATTCTCATGCTAGCAACAACTGACTCCGGCCATCAGGAATTCATCTGCTTCGATGTCCTTAGATCGCCTATGTTTCCAGCCATCCTAAGAATACCTTCGTTGCAAGCTCACAATCCACAAATCAACTGGCTCAAGAAAGAAGTCACCTTCCCATCAAATTACTGCCTTCAGCACTGCGGCACCTCCACACCCACCAATTTTCCTGTGTGCCTCTCAGTTTAGTCTACTTCAGATGCCATTCAATCCGTTCCCCCTGCCTACCACCGTTTCCTTGACGTATTTGATAAGAAGAAGGCCCACACTTTACCAGCTCCTCGATCATATGACTGCCCTATTGAGCTGCTTCCAGGGGCAGAAATACCGTTTGGGCAAATCTTCCCATTGACCAAACTAGAACTGGAAGCCCTCCGGCAATATATCGCCGAAAACCTGGCCAAGGGGTTCATCCGTCCCTCTTCCTCACCTGCCGGGGAAGGTATTTTCTTTGTTGTGAAAAAAGATCAGTCTCTCCGTCCCTGCATCGACTATAGGGAACTCAACAAGATCACCATTAAGAATCGGTACCTACTCCCTCTTGTTCCCAAGTTATTTCAGAGGTTTCGGACAGCCCAAGTGTTCACGAAACTAGACTTACGAGGGGCCTACAATTTAGTTCACATTAGGGAAGGATGAGTGGAAGACCACTTTTAGAATGCGCTCTGGGCACTTTGAGTACCTAGTGATTTGGATTATGCAATGCCCCTGCAACATTTCAACACTTTGTGAATTACATCTTCAGGGAATATCTCGATCTCTTTTTGATTGTCTACCTGGACGGCATCTTGATTTTCTCCAACTCATTGGAACTCCACCAAGACCATGTTAAGAGGGTATTGACTACGCTGAGGACACATGGCCCTGATTTACTATTGTGCCTGGGCGCATTTCTGTGGGTGTTAGATTTCCAGAGTTATGAAAAAACTCTATTAATATTTCTAGGTTCTTGTAGATGGTTGTGGGAAGAAATCCTTATGGAAGCCAGGTCAGTATAAGCAGTGTGACTTTATTTGATCACACACCAATAATACAAAGTCAATAAAAAACAGTAAATTCAGATATATGTAGCTTAAAATGAAATAAAAATAAAGAATATAAGTTGCTTGTTCCTTGAATATTAGAAGAAAATGTAGTTCCTTTGAAAAGCTTAAATAGAAGATTTTCAGGCCTAGTTTCTTCCTTTGTTCAATGTTAACCTCTTTGCCATGTGCTGTCTTTGTGTAAGTATCTGAAAAGTGTAGGTATGTCTGAATGAAGTGAAGTGTATAGAAGGTAGGAGAAACTGAACCTCGTTCTTTGAAAAGCTGCATACTTAAAATGCATGAGAAATTAGGTCCTCCCATTAAGCTTTGTTTCAAATTCGCGGGCTCCTAAAAACTCCCATAGTCACTCCCAGCTTAACTAAAGACATGTGTTCCTATTCAAACCACCAAGTCATTATCATGATTGACATGCAGGCTCTGAAAGAAGGTCTCTGGAGTTACATACAACTGTCGAAATCCATGATTTATGACTACAATTTAAACTCTCAGACTCATTATAAGAATTCAAAATATGGTATACTGTTACATAGAGTATTTTAAAAGAAAACATGAATTTAAACCTCTGCTGATTACCTTTAGCTCAGACACAAATAATTCACATCTGACCACTGAAATGCAAAACCTCACATTCACATCCAATTAAGAGGGTATTTTCTGCCAGCATATATTTCAGAACTACTAAAGACCGAATTAAAGTTTGGATATTAAAAATTAATATTACATTCCCCTCTGAAATATGAAATTCATATTAATTTATAGCAAGCACACATCATTTATATCACAAACACTCAGGTTTTGATTTAGTAATCTCAAATGTATCATTATTTGTAACTGAGTCAGCATAACCAGAAAGTATTTTTCTCTGAAGTATATTTTGTAATAGATTATCTCCTTTCCTAATTTCACTTCTAATTCGCTTATAGAAACTGTTCATTTTACACATCAAACATAATTGAAATATAATACATAATATGATAATAATAAAAATAATTATTACAGGATGTAATAAAATATTTCCTGCTGCAGATGCAATTGAAGTTTTTCCCAACATTGATACAGTACGTTTAAATTTTGACCACCAAGAATGACCTGAAAATTGAGACCATTCATGTTCTATATCTTTTAAACTCCCTTGTTCATGTTTAAATAATATTTCTGCTTTTTGGAGTTCATCTGATAAAGCTATCAGTAAACCTTCATCTTTTTGAATAACATTTGCCCAATCTCTCCATGGGAATTCATCCACTTGAGATATATTGTACTGTATGGGAAGAGCACTTATATTTTTCATAAGCATGTTTGTTAAATTCATTCTCATCCCATTAACACTTATTGCTGAAATATCTCCTTCTATACAGAACAAACCTCGACTTAAGTTTTCTGTATGTGTACAAGAAGAAAAGAAGGATTGAACCCTTTCTGAGTCAGACATAACTTGAAAACAAACTTTCTTTTTATCTACAATTGAGATTAACTCAGAAGTGGTTTTAACCTTTTCTATCCTTGCTGAACATAGAGTATGGTTATGGTAACAAGAATGAAATATACCTTTGTCTTGATTAGGTAAACAAATCACTTTAGACTGAAATTGTAACATGAAGACAGATCTAATTGTTCTAACTCAAAATTATTATCAGTAAATGCAAAATCTGTATATTGCAGATGATAATATAGTAACTGTGTGTTGCTAACTGGTAATCCCAAGACAGTGATTGGAACCAACATTTGTTCTTTTCCTGCTACAGGAATCATTGAAGAACTATAACATATGTTCTGATAACATCCAATCCACTTATTTACCCACAGATCAGTATGGTTTATGGCATATACATACTCTCTTGGTAAATTTTGTACAATACCTATAGGAGTTATTCCACTTTGAAAAGCTTGAGCTATTATTTTAAAATTTGTGGAATATTCCATCTGAATTTCTAAAAATGCTCTGGCTATATGGGAATGCCGTTCACTTGACATTAAATTAAGAGTAATATTCTCTAAGTGTAATATAGATGGACCCATAATATTGGCTGTTTTAATCACCATATTTTCCAATATTTGATTCAAGTTTCTTTGTACTTTAATACTATTGCTTCCCACTAAACCGGCTGTCTCGAGATCAGACTTTAATGTACTAATGTCCATACTATTTGTAATACTACCAATAGTACCTATTCCTCCTAAAATACCTTCAACTATACCACGTTTATTCCTGTGAGGATTCCTAATATCAGTACCAAACCATCTTTCAATACCTAATTCCATGTTAACCAGATGTTCTTTACATTGTGGAAACCTTGTTGAGATTTTCCATTCTGAAATGTTAAAGTTCCACAATATAATAACAAACTTTCCTTCTCTCAACAGGAGTCTGGTCTGGAAATGGTTAATTTGGAAGGGACTGGCTGGAATAAATTTCTTATCCGTACACTGTGTTCTTTTAGGGGATAGTACAATTACATTTGTATTTACACATTTCTTTGGATAATTTTCTATTAATATGCAGCATTATATATATATACCTGTATCATTAATAGATATAGTGTTTTGATGATACACAAAGTTATCATTATCCCAGTTCAAATTACCAAAAATACTTTTATGGATAACATCAGTTTTATCATGAAGAAAACTTCCCAAAAATTCACCATTCCTTTTCCAAGTTAATAATGAATTTTGAGGTAGGTGTATTTGTATACTACACATCAAATTCAGATTATCCTTTCCTTCTACAAGTCTTAATGATTGAGGAGATATTTTTATCTCTGGGACAATCAAATCTACCACAGTAACAATTACTTTGACTTTAGTTTGAACCAAAGCTCTTGTCACTTGGAAATCCCATATTTTCACTATGTCCTCTTTTTCATTACCATTTATATTCAAATGTTCAGGATCAAGAAAGTGTGAATAACTTTGTAATTGATACCAAATATCTGTTTTAGAACTTCCTATTTTTCCAGTATTTAACATGTCTATGGAAATATCTCCTGACCAAATAGTAGGTTCATTTCCCTTTAAAACTATTAACCAGTATCCCATATCGGATAAATTACATTCAAAGTTACTAGTTTCGTTATTGATCCTATAAGATCCTTGCATTTTAACAAATTTTGATTTAGACTCTATTTTAGCTCTAACTTCAATATCATTATTATGAACGAAATACAATTCCGAACAACAAATTCTACCATAACCTATGCACATATATTCTAGCAAGTCTTCAGCTGTATTAATGTTACTGTCTTTAGGAAAAAATCTTTTGTTCCTAATAAGTGTAGTGTCTTTCTTATGTAGGGCTTCAGTCTTGTTAACTTCTGTATTGCTGGAAAAGTTTATGTTGTAGATTACTAATATTGTCATTGTCACTAGAGATGAGCGAAGTATTCAAAAATTTGATTCGACTGATTCGGCGAATTCGTGGACAATATTCGATTCGAGTCGAATATATTCGCTGTGAATTTAACTTAAAAAAGGGTGTTTCAAGGCTTCAGAGAGACTTAATATTAGTGCAGAACACTGTACCTTTAATTTAAATGCCCTTGGAGTCTGCTGGGGAAGAGAAATAATACTGTCAGTCAGTATGACATGCAGATGAGTGCCGTCGATCTTAGAATCACCGCACACTTCACTCATTTGGCCAGTCACGGGGCCAAAACCAGTGTTTGGAGCCACAGTGTGGCGGTGGAGGCAGCAGCAATGGGAGGCCATACAGCAACCTATGACAAAATGGAAACCAGCAGGAGTGTGAGGAGACCTCAAAGTGGCACATGGCAGAGTGGGAGCAATGGGAGGCGGTACAGGGACCCATGTCACACTGTGGACCCAGCAGCAGCGTGATGAGGCGGTACGGGGGCCCATGGCAGATTTGGGGCCTGGCAGCACCTATGGGAGGCCTGTAATCTGCCAGCAACCTATGACAAAATGGAAACCAGCAGGAGTGTGAGGAGACCTGAAAGTGGCACAAGGCAGAGTGGGAGCAATGGGAGGCGGTACAGGGACCCATGTCACACTGTGGACCCAGCAGCAGCGTGACCAGGCGGTACGGGGGCCCATGGCAGATTACAGGCCTGGCAGCAGCAATGGGAGGCCCGTAATCTGCCAGCACCCTATGACAAAAAATGGAACACACCAGCAGTGTGTGAGGAGACCTGAAAGTGGCACATGGCAGAGTGTGGCAATGGAGACAGCAGCAATGGGAGGCCGTACAGGGACCCATGAGAGACTCTGGACCTGGCAGCAGCATGAGGAGGCGGTATAGGGGCCCATGGCAGATTAGGGGCCTGGCAGCAGCTATAGGAGGCCCGTAATCTGCCAGCACCCTATGACAAAAAATTGAACACACCCAGGTGTGTGAGGAGACCTGAAAGTGGCACATGGCAGAGTGTGGCGATGGAGACAGCAGCAATGGGAGGCCGTACAGGGACTCATGAGAGACTCTGGACCTAAGAGTGTGGCGATGGAGACAGCAGCAATGGGAGGCCGTACAGGGACCCATGAGAGACTCTGGACTTGGCAGCAGCATGAGGAGGCGGTATAGGGGCCCATGGCAGATTAGGGGCCTGGCAGCAGCTATGGGAGGCCCGTAATCTGCCAGCACCCTATGACAAAAAATGGAACACACCAGCAGTGTGAGGAGACCTGAAAGTGGCACATGTTTGGGGCATGATTTCATGGCGGATTTAGTCAGTTGTGTCAGGAACTGGTGGTTTGAAATCCAGACTAAATCCACGCCTGATTCATTTTCACAAACGTGAGTCTCTCCACACTTTGGGTGGACAGTCGTGTCCTCCGCGGAGTTGCAATACCTCCTGCCCGCACTAAACACGCCTCCGATGCCACGGCAACTGGCCGGCAATGACAGCCTTTCAAGGGCAAAATTCAGCTAGTTGGGGCCAAAGGTCAAGTTTCGTTGCCCAGATATCAAGGGGATAGTCCCTACCTCGTTTTTGGCAGGGTGCTGTCCAAGTAGGCCTATAAGCCTGTATGTTTGAGGTCCTGCTCCAGGTCCACCTGATGCTGCTTTTGGGCTGCGGCTGGGCGTGACTTGGTTATTAGTTCCTCCTCACTGCGCTGGTGAAGAAGAGCTACTCATCATCGACGTGCAGATACTGCGATGTGGGCAGCTGCTTGCTGATGGAGCCTGCCACTGCTTCCTACCTACCCCACCCCTTCCCTGCTGCCAATGGCAGCGTAACGCGAGCGCAAGGCCCACAGTGGTCTGAGAATGTGACGTTGGCGCAGACAGGCAGAGACAAGCTACTACATAGGTGGTTTTTATAGTAACTTATTTATGCCCTCCCTCTCGCAAGTGTAAAAAGGCCACCATTTTGGGAACGGTACCGAGGTCCAACAAGGTGGACAGCCAAAGGGGGGGGGGTAGCGGATGGGGGGGGGCGGCCTCTGTCGGATGGTTAGTATCGCTGTCGGTACAACAACAAGCGAGCATGCTATGGGCCATTGTGCCAAGGAATGCGAGGGACTTTCCCCGCCTCCCATCTCCCAGCATACTGCCACGGTTCGCTGGGGCCTCCCGTTCCCCCTTCCCTTCCCCCCTCCCCCTACCCCAAAGCTCCTGCTCCCCCCAAATCCCGTTCCCCTGAGTGGGAAAAAACCCCCCATTTCACTCAAAAATTTTCCCGAGCCAAACCCAAAAACCTCCTCTACCCCCTCCTCTTTTTCCTGTCCCGCCCCCACAGGGGCCTGTGGGGGGTTTTAGATCTGGCCCACGGCTACCCCACCCTGACCAGGGCCCCCATTTAAAACATTGTTTTCCCGACGTGGGAACAGAGGGAAAGACGTTTGTTCAATTTCCCCTGTCCCCGCTGGGCTCATCACGAATAACGTGGGCCCCCTCAAAGGCCTGACAACCAGGGGTCCCTGCCTGAGCTTTCCAAAAGGGGGCTGAACCCTCCCAAGTTCACAGGGGGAACCTTTATCCGCTTTTTTTTAAAATCAGGGAAATCTGGATGGCCTTTTGGGTGTTTTGTAAAGCGGTCTAACATATTAGGGTTTAATTCCACCTTTTTTGGCAACATCACAGCAAAGAGGACGGTACGGGGGCCCCTGGCAGATTTCGGGCCTGGCACAGCAAAGGGGACCCGTAATCTGCCAGCCCCTAAGACAAAAAATTCAAAAAAAACCACAGTGTGTGAGGGGACCTTAAAGTGGCACAAAGGCAGAGTGTGGCCCATTTGGGGACGCGCAATGGGGGGCCGTACAGGTACCAAAAGAGACTCGGCGGCCTGGCCAGCAGCATGAGGAGGGGTATAGGGGGCCCCTGGCAGATTTTGGGGGCCCGGCAAACAGCTAAAGGAGGCCCGAAAACTTCCAAACACCCTTTTTCAAAAAAATTTAACAAAACCGCAGTGGGGAGGGGAAACCCGAAATGGGACATGGCAAAGAAACACTTTTTGGACCGGGAAACAGCATGAGGGGGCGGTACAGGGGCCCATTGGGAGATTAAGGGGGCCCGGCCCGCAACTATGGGAGGCCTTTTAATCTGCCAGCACCCTTTAATTTTAAAAAAATTTAACACACCAGCAATGTGAAAAAGACCTAAAGTGGCCATGGCCCAAATGGGGCCATGGAGACAGCACAATGGGGGGCCTACAGGGACCCATGACCCGACTCGGATTGGCCCGCAGCAGAGGACCCGGGATAGGGGCCCATTTGGGAATTAGGGGGCCCGGCAGCAGCTATGGAGGCCCGAACTCCCGCAAAACCCCAAGTCCCAAAAAAATTTAACGACACCCACAGTGTGTGAGGGGAAACCCGAAAGTGGGACATGGGAAAATTTTCGATGGGGGACAGCAATTTGGGGGCCGTACAGGGGCCCATGAAAAAGACTCCCGGACTTGGCAGCAGCATGAGGGGGCGGGATAGGGGGCCCCTGGCAATTAGGGGGCCCGGGAGCAGCTATGGGGGGGCCCGTAATCTGCCCCGCACCCTATGTTTCCCAAAAAATTTAACACACCACAGTGTGTAGGAACCTTTAAATTCCATGGCAGAGTGTGGCATGGAGACGCAGCAATGGGGCCGTTTCAGGGGCCCATTGGGGAGACCCATGGGCCTGGCAAACAAACATGAGGAGGCGGGATATAAAGGGGCTCATAGCAATTAGGGCCTGGGACACTATGGGAGCCCCCTAAAACTGGGCCCGCACCCTATGTAAAAAATTTAAAAACCCCCAGCAGTGTGTGAGGGGGAAACCCGAAAGTTTGGGAAAATGGTAAGTGGGGGCGATGGAACAGCAGCAATGGAGGCCGACAGGACCCCTACAGACTCTGGGCTTTGGGAGCCAAACCCTGAGGAAGGGGGTATAAGGGGGCCCTTGGGGAGTTTTGGGGCCTGGCAGCAGCTATGGGAGGCCCCCCTAAAACTGCCAGCACCCTATTTCCAAAAAAATTCAACAAAACCAGCATGTGTTAGGGGGACCTGAAAATGGCACATGGGAGAGTGTGGGGGGATGGAGACAGCAGCAATGGGGGGGCCGTACAGGGACCCCTGAAAAGACTCTGGACTTGGCAACAGCATGAAAATGGGTATGGGGCCCCTGGCAGATTAAAGGGGCCCGGCAAACAGCTATGGGGCCCCCTAATCTCCACACCCATGTCAAAAAAATTTCAACAAAAAACCCGCAGTGTTTGGGGGAACCCAAAGTGGCACATGGGAGATTGGGGGGGGATGGAGACAGCAGCAAAAGGGAGGGGCCCTACAGGGACCCATACAGACTCTTTGGGCTTTGGGAGCAGCAAAGAAGGGGGTGGATAGGGGGCCCCCTGGCAGATTAGGGGCCGGGACAGCTTGGGGGGCCCCAAAACTACCAGCACCCTATGGGCAAAAAATTTAACACACCACAGTGGGGAAACCCCGAAAGTGGGCAAAATGGCCCGAAGACGTGGACCTGGCACAGCATGAGGAGGCGGTATAGGGCCCATGGCCCGATTAAGGGGGCCCGGCAGCACTATGGGGGGCCCTAATCTGCCAGCCCCCCTTAAAGCAAAAAAAATTTAACAAAACCAGCCGTTGTTTGGAGAGACCCAAAAATGCACATCAGATTGGGGATGGGGGACAGCCCCAATGGGAGGCCGTAAGGGGCCCCCTGAAAAAACTCTGGACCCGGGGCGCATGAGGAGGCGGTAACAGGGGCCCCCTGGCAAATTAAACCTGGCAGCCCGCAAGGGGTCCCCCTAATCTGCCAGCACCCTATGAAAAAATGGGAAACCCCGGGGTGGGGCAGGGAGAAACCCCCTTTTCTTTTCCCCGGTTTTTTTCCCCGGGCCCCCGAATGGCGACGCTGCATAAACACGCAACCTGTAATCCCAACATGGGGCCCCCCGGGCCACCCTTGACTTTCTGGGCCCCATAGTCGACATACGGGTACTTTACTTCCTCGGGCGGCGGTTTAAAAAAAAATTGCCACACCCCCGAGAAAAAATTTTGCCCCCGCAAATCCTCAAATGGCTGACTGCTAAATTCCCCCCGCAAACCGCCGGATCACTACTGGCCGTGGTGGTTTGGGGTGCAGTGGAGTGGGGCTCCCACCCCTGGGCCCTTTTCCTCCACTGGGCACTGCTGGACCCTGCTTCCCCCCTGGGAACAGCAATGGGAGGGCCCTACAGGGAAACCCCTACACACTCCTGGAAACCCGGGAGCAGCATTTAAGAGGGGGTACAGGGGCCCCCTGGCAGATTTTCGGGGCCCGGGGAAACAGCAATTTGGGGCCCGTAATCTGCCAGCACCCTATTACCCAAAAAAAGGAAACCAAAAACCAGCCCTGGTTAGAGACCCCAAAAATGGGACATTTTTGGGGAGGGTTTATGGGAATTTAGTCAGTTTGTTTCAGGAACGGTGGTTTTTAAATCCAACTAATCCACGCCTAAATTTTATTTTCACAAAATGAGTCTCTCCACACTTTTGGGTGGGCAGTCGGGCCCCCGTAGTTAAAAAAACCCCCCGCCGCACTAAACCCAAAAGCGCTTTCCCAGCCCACGCTACCCGCCGGGGAATACAACCTTTCAAAGGGGAAAATTCCCCTATTTGCCAAAGGTCAAGTTTTGTTGCCCAAATAGTCCCAAGGGGGTTGTCTACCTCGGGTTTGGCAGGGTGCTGTCCAAAATAGGGGGCCCAACCTGTTGTTTTAGGTCCTGCCCAGGTCCCACCTGATGCGGGTGCTGCTGCTCGGCTTTTAGTAGTTTTCCCCACTGCGCTGGGGAA